CATTAAAACTCCAACGTGGCCTCGAGCCTTGGGGGAATAAAACAAAATAATTAAATTATTCATCCCTTATCCTCGATATTTTTTTGTTTTTGTTTTTTTTTTCTTGTTTGTTTCACCCAAGCCTTGGGGCCATGTTTGAACTATAAGATATCGAAAATTGTCTGATCAAAGGCGTTCCAAGCTCACGTTTCGAGGAAAAGCGAAGGATTATATCATGAAAGCGTCACGCGTAGTGTGACGCGTTAAGTTACGCGAGCAACCGTTGAGAATTTTAATGCGTTTTAAGGAATAGAATAGGGAACGAAATATGGTCCATTTAAAACACGAGATATTCCAAAATATGAACATTTTCACTAGTAAGATTGAAAAAACTTACTCACTCTTTGTGTGTCCGTGGCGGTTTTTGGTGATTTTTGTTGTTTTGAGCTTGCTTTGCCATCACTGTTTTCCCTGTTGTGTGACGAAACCACGTGCTGACATAATCTTTTCCCTCCCTTTTCGTGCGTTTGTGACTCACGTGCAACGCTTGCGCTACGCACGACAATCAGCTGATCCTTGCGCGTGAGTTCCTCCGAGAGGCAGGAGGAGCGCACAGCAAGGACTGATTCGCCCGCCAACATTGAAAAGCTATAATTACTGATTAAAACAATCGAAACTTTTCTTAATATTGAATTATGCGCGCCAAATATTGATATCTTATTAGACGTTTTGTTGTGTAGTATCGCCGAGTATTTTCATGAGTTGTGCCGTATTTTCAGAGGGAAGAGAATCAGAAGTTAAATATTTGCTGTGGGTCACGTACAAGTATCGAATCAAAATACGGTAAAACTCATAACAATACTCACCGATACTACAAAACAAAATGTCTAACAAGAGTTTTATCATCCAACCCACCAAATTGTTATTTCAGTGCGGGCGCATGTCTAACCGGTTCTCTTGAGTACAAGTACCCCGAGATGTTTGTTCTCGTTTTGGGCGTTATTTGTCCACTACCAAACACAGTTGGATAATAATTGTGGGTTAGCGCACTATGTTATTCTGCCAGGAAGCGCGATATACTGCTAGCTTTCTTGCTCAATTCTCGTCAACGTTGTAGTTGAGGCTGTCAGAGGTGGATCCAGTCGGCAACAATGTTAGCAATGAAGTTGTCACTAAGAATTCCCTTAAGTGTCGTCTAGACTTTGACTTTGAAACGATTGATAAGTACCTGATTACCAGAAGTGGAGAACTGTATTTTACAGAACTAGCAGGTCCAATAACTTGGCAGCCACGCCCGCATTATTAGCGCTTCGCAGGAAAGTATGAAGCCTTAAATAGAGTGTGGGGGAGGGAGGGCATTTCGATTTCCGATTTTGGCTATTTTTGAGATCGGTTTTTCGGTTTTGGTGCCAAAAAAACTTCAGTTTTTCGGTTTTGGTGTTCATTATATTTCGCGGATTTTCCATTTTTCAGCATTTGTTTTTTCGGTTTCCGTCAAAAATACCAGCGGGTTTTCGCTTTTGGTATCCCATGTGGTTTTTGTATTTTCCTATTTGAGTTCCGCTTTCGCTGATCTCGAATAGCCGCGAAGTCTCTGCGTGCTCGTCTTGTCACCACTGTATCGGATCGCTTAGTGTTTTGATAACTGGGACGTGAATTTTAATCGGTTTTGACGGTTTTGTATGTGGTTTTCGGTTTTGATCAAATCAGAAGCCTTCTTTCACATTTCCCACAACATCTGAGATAAACCAAAGGAATTATTCGGTCACAGGCCATTTTAACTTTTCATAACAAATTTCAATTATAAAAATACAAAAAGATTATTGCATACTATGAAAATAAGTGTTGCAGTTCTTCCAGCGATTTCTTTTTCGTTTCGGGGAGATAAACGAAGAAAAACAACCAGCCAAAAAACGAAATTCCCCCGTACAACCAGAACGCACCATAATGCGTAATCCACTCAGTCAGAGAGAGAAAAGTCATGGAAATCACCAAGTTACAGGTCCAGTTCGTTGCTGTGGCAAATGCATTTCCTGTGCTACGGGCCCACAAGGGGTATATCTCAGAATTTATTGTCCACGGCATCGGCCCCATTCCCGGAGCGAACGCAGCGATGTATAAAACAAGAAATACAATGGCTAACCAAGCCTACCTATATGGACACGCTTGGTACGACCATGTTACTGAATGGTCCTTGCGACTGCATCTACCAAAAGCGGCCATGTTATCACTAGAAGACACATTTATTGGAACACAAGAACCGTTTATAAGATTATTGGCGGGGTCTTTAGCTGAACAAAATCCACACTTTTCTTTGAGACAATCCAAGCAGTAACCCGTAGCGGGGCACTTGTTGCTGTTGATATCCAACGACGTTTTCTCATGAAAAGTGATCGCAGCATCGTGTTGCGTCGCCATGTAAAATGCACCACCCAGTAGAAACAAGCTGATAGTGACCCCTGCAAGACTGCCAAGAAGAAGCTTACGGCGTCCTAACCTCTCTACGAGAAACACTCCAACGATGGTGAAAGCAAAATTACCAAATGCGACCACTGCAGCCAGCCAGATGGCCAGTTGGTCTCCCTGTATGCCGGACATCTGTACAATCGTTGCACTGTAGTACCTGGAAATAACATGAAAACTCTGAATTGCCCAGTCGAACTCACCTCCATTATCGGCATCCTGTTAGGGCGAGTTAATGTTACAAGCTTACGATAGGAAAGTTTGATTTAGAGTAGGAGTCGACGGTGGGGGGAGGGGACGGGGGAAGGTCCACCCCGTCCTCTCCCCGCCGTTGTGAAAGGTGGCTGTTAGTGAAATTTCGTATGTCAGTTGTGTGTGTTGTTATTTAGTATTCAATCTTTGCTGTTGGAGCATGCGCGCTAATAGCGGCTACTTAAGAGATATCAACTTTTCCTTAGAAGTTAAGAAAACATTTTCGCTTACATAACTGTGTTTATCCCAGACAACTGTTGAATCGCCTGCAACATGCAGCCCACCAGTAGAGCTCTCCTCGTACTTTTCGTAGTTGCCATCTGAAATGTTATGCTTTGCGTAAAGGAAAATGATTCTAAAAAAGAAATCAAAATATTTCAAAATGACTCAGTTGTATTTGTTGGAAACTGTACGATACATTTATTAGTCTTAAAATTGGGGACATTATAAGTGATTTCCTTTGTCTATTACGTAACCAAACAACATATGACTTCCAGATAATGATCAGACCACGATTGACGCAACCTTGAATGACCTTAATTGCTCAGCCAATCACATTGTAAAGGATACAGTGCATTAACTTGAACTTCGTTTAGAGTTTAAGAGAGTACTCCTTACTCATCTGATGTAAATGAAGTGTAATAGCAAAATCGAATCAAGCGAATAAATCGTGAGTACAGCCTTTCCAAGTTTTCGACATATTTCAGCAGGTCATTTCTTTCTGGAATTTAACCCAAAAACGAAATTCCACAATTAAAAAAAATTGCCGAAAAATTATATAAATTAGCCAAAAAAAATTCAAACACAGTGTCTACAGCTTCATGTTTGCCTAAGACAACAGTCCCCACCCTACTAGTATTCAAAATTCTTTCATTATCCCATTGATCTCTTAGAGTGATTGGCATCTAATTTCTCCATACAATATTACCCCTAAGTCACAAATTATGGTCATGAGAATAAAGAAAATGATCACCAACTAAAGAAGCTATTGATTGTTAAGCAAAATTAATTCTCTTTGTCAACACCTTAGGAAATGTATAGAGAACAGTATGGACAATATGCATACTGATGTTAGGGTGTTAAAGGTTCATTCAACCCTGAAAGTATTTGTGGTAAAAGAAACAGATACCACTCACTAGTTTCACAGAGTGATTCTTCTTCACAAACAGTTTGCATCGCTAAAAGTTCATCCTTCACGTCGTCTGTACCCCTCAGTTTGACAAGAACTTTCTTTGCCTGCTGAGACAAACCTCTACTAACAAGCCAGCGGGGACTCTCTGGCAGCACTAGACAGCCAAAGAACATAATAATGGATGGTACTGCTGCCAAACCAAGCATAAATCTACAAAAATAGAGGGAAAAAATGCAAAATTTTCCAATAATGGACTAGGACTTGGACGGAGGCCAATTTTACCATTTCAACTTTGTTGATATATTCAAATTAGGAGGAATTTAGACATGAATTTATAAAAATTTGCCATAACAGATTAGTGAAGATCTTATTTGCAGAGTCAGCATTTAAATTGGTCAAGAAAATCCCCCATCTGAGCAAATCTTGTAGTGGAGAGTTTCTTTCACATGCAAGAATTTTCCTGCCCCTGCCCCCCACTTCACCTGCTAAAAAAACATAGAAATCATTTTCAGCCTGTAAAAAAAAACCTTTTGCAAGTTTGAGACTTTTAATCTCTGAAATAACCTGGAACAATTAACAGATATTGTCTTATTAAAATATCTCTAAATTATTCTGACAGCAGAACAGGTTATGATCTAGTAGATTACAGACCAATGTCGACCTTGGAGATGATATCGTGACAACAAAAATTCTCCTCAATATTTAACTCCCATGAGTGACCAAGACAGAATTTCTCCTTACAATAACAATACAAAATCAAGCAGACA